TCGTATTCCCGTAATTAACAATGAATCTGATTCAGATGCTGATGTAACAGTTGAAAAGAAACACGAAAAGATTGAGGACAGCGAATCATATAAAGAAAAGAATAGTAGTGGAAACAGTACCAATGAAGATCCAGTGGATAAGAATAGAATCATTGAAATCGTGAAATCTGAATTATCGCATGTTACGTTCAAAGAAGGAAGGCCATCTATGGAAGAAATGGTTCGTCAAGAGATAAACGAATCTAATGGATCAGTTGCATTCGTTACCTGTGGACACCCAGTTATGGTCGATGATTTGCGTCATTCCGTAGTTATGAATTTGGGCAATACGAAGGGTAAACGTGTTGAATTTTTCGAGCAATTACAAGTTTGGGCTTAAGAGTTTATAACGTCTGTAAATAGTTTCCAATGGTATCTAGAAGATCTTCCTCAAGTTAGTTATCCTCTTACGAGTATAGCCTGATCCGCTATGATTCATAACTCAAGAATATGCACTAGGAGTCGTTATTGTCAATATGCATTACCCAATAATAGCTTCTAAACAAAGTCCAATCTCGCTTCTTATATATTTTGTAATTTTTTCTTTTTTATTGTATTAGAACCTAATCCTTTTGTCTCGTAGTCCGGAATATCTCTGATGCTACTAGTATTTCTTTAGTTCTTTCTGAAATAAATTGCATAGGATCCCAATCGTGCAGAATGTTATTATGGATTTATCGACCACGGTCGCAATACCATCTTTGAAATGGGATTTTGCCGCAGGAACTTCTTCAAAACGGATATGACCTTCCAAGCCTTAATTTTTGATAGTATTGACAGTTAAGCAATTCTTGGCAAAGCGAGTTTAAGCCTCTGTATTATTGTTACAGATTTGACACAAAGCATAATCTGATAACAAAAGTTAATTATTAATGCAGTCCTACATATGGTATTGTTCCAAATTAGGCGTTTTTCAGAATTATAAAGCGTATTTCATCAGAACTTGTTGTCTAGCCTTCTAGCCGTAGAATGTTAATCTTCTTTAGCCAATCGGCTATTTTATTCTGGGGCAAGTGCACCAAGTAACCTGTAGTATTTCTACAATTTTACAGCAAATAGCAGCAGGCACGTTCAAATATTGCAGATCTGATTTATCAGATAAAAATTTTCAGTCATATGAAACCTATATAAGAAGTTAATTTTTCTATAATTTATCTGAGATGTTGATTTAGATCAAATATACTTATTAGCTCATTGTCAAGCAGCATGAAACTTTCATTGGCAAATTTATTTTCGCTTCTTATAATTTCTATTGGAATCACGAAGGTTAATGCAAAGCATGATAGTGTAAAGGCAGCACCATATTCAAGATCTGGATTGTCTGGCAGAACATTATCGGCATGTTCCCTGGTGGTTGGAGTTACTGCTACCTTTTGTGATCAAAGTTCACCGTATGCGAGAATGTGTTACTGTGTGGATCCAAATGCTTTAGCTACTATCGCAGGCTGCTACCACTTAGCGAACAGGGTCTCGCAGGAGACGGTTGAAGGATTAAGCGAGAGTTGTGCAGAGCTTAAAAGAACCATTACTTTGGATGATTTTGAAGCAGCATACAAAAACTACACTTCCCTTGCCAAAGAGACGAGTGATATCAAGAACTTCAATGCAACTATTCCTGTGGATGTTCCAGTTAAATTAAATTCATCATCAGTCAAGTTATATATAGATGCTTATGACCAATTCTTGGGTAATTATGATGATTCGTTATATTACGGCTCGGGTGTTCTTGGTTATTGGGCACTTGTCTTCTTAATTGTTACAGTTGTAAACTGGACCAAAATAATATCCCCTGGGTTGGTAAAAA